ACAGCAACAACAACAACAAACAAACAAACAACAAACACCAACATCCAACAACAACAAACAAACAAACAAACAGCAACCAAAGAACCAACAATAAGAAACAAGTACAAAGAGAACAAAGGAACTTTGGATGGAAAACGTGAAGACAGAAGACAAAGTTCGGGAACGACAACTCAGGGCAGTGTGAATGGCCGGACCCGGCAACCGGACAGAATGCCATCTTGTTAAGGCCCACCCAGTGCATGAGACACTTAAGAAGGTTGATAGTTGCCCAATCCACGGTAGGGAGACCCAAAACTCAAGGGGAGCCAGGAGGACCTGCGGCGAACAACAGCCTTTGCGCTGGAGATTTGGATGTCCATTTTAAAATGAACATGGAAAATAAAAAAGAATAAACTGTTACGGGTGTTAAAACATGTAGTCACTGTTAAAAGATAAAAACAAAAGAACACCCCAAGCCCTCTCGCCCCGTCCTCCACCCCCCCCCCCCAATACCCAGCAGAAACAACAATTGAAAACACAACAACCCCGAAACTCCCAAACAAACTAATGGGAGATGACTGAGACAACAGTATGGAATGGTATTTTTACTTGTTATTTCCCCTTGACACCACAACCTTGCATTGGTCAATAATTATTTTTTTGTGTGGAGAATGTGCGTTCGGGTTATTCGATAACGCTTGAAATTCCGCTTTCTTTTATTGGACACTTTATAAACAGACAGGCAACAAACAACACGCACGCTTTGGATAAATTAAACAGGCCGGTTCGTGTTCCGGATTTGTGTTGTGATGGTTCGAAAACGCCGCGATATTGCTTTTACTTTACTGCTGGTCTGGTCCGCTTCGCCCTCAAAGAGCTAAACGACGAGAGAAACACTTGGCTCCATAGGCATGTGGTAATTGAATGCTAATTATGCATAAGACAGCTAGAAAAACAAATGAAGACGTTTTGGTTGGAGCAAATTGCAAACGACAGCTTATGACGAATATATACGAAAGCAACAGGCAAATTTCATTGGACACACAATGCGGAAAGAAGCATTGGAGAATATTGTAACAACAGACATGTTTGATGGAAAGAGAGGCAGAGGCAGAAAGAGGGAAAAGATACAGGACAAGTTGAAAACATGGCTGGGAACAGCAAGAACGACAGACACCATCGCTGCAACGCAAGACAGAGTGAAGTGGAGGTTCATGATCGCCCACGCCAGTCGGCAAGGCACCGGATGATGATGATGATATACATAAGCAATCCAACAGACATACATGTATAAACAACTGTATAAAAAAAGACTAGCAATTTATACGACCCCCCCCCCCCACGTCTACTTCAAAAGAAGAAAAACCTATTCACTTTTACTTTTACTTTTTCATCATCTGAAGGCGTTAAGCGTCGAGGGGAGATGCAGTCTTTCTATGGTAGGCCAGCTCCAGAGCTCTTTCAATTGGGATATTACTATGATTTCTCAGGGTTTCCTTGACTCCCCCAATTCACCTTAGGAGTGCTTGGTGTTGTTGGCTCTAGGTGACAAACGTAACAGGTGGCAAAACTATTTTATATTCTGTTTTTCTATGAAATGCAGGCAGGACTAAGTGCCAATAGCTGCTCTAACTTCTTCATGTCTCTGCCTGTCTCGGCTTGTGGTGTTAAGGTTTTTGCGGAGACATTTCAATTCGCTGCTTTTAGCTTCATGGGTTTTACTTTCAATGTCCAGGTGCGGCACTGGTAGCATAATGTTGGTATGAATATTGAAGTGATAAGCTCTATCTTTGTGTCCATGGAGATGTTTGGACGAGATAGGAGGAGTGCTAGCTGGTAGGTGACAGCGTTGGCTTTTTGAGTTACCATTTCTATTTTTCTGATACAGGTTGTATTATACGGGTCGATGTCACTGTATGGCCACAGAACACAGAACTTTAGGAGTTTTCATGTAAATCATCACGAAAGATGATAATGATATGCCCATAACCCAAAAAACCCTACATAAACAGAACATTAGAAACAGCTAGCCCAATTCCTTACGAATGACACCACATTAAGAACTCCTACCTTCGATAAAACACACTCCGAGAATAAAAAGCCTTGCCCATAATTAATTTCAAGTAACTTATTTCCCCCTGAGATATCTTTTGGAGTTTGAAAATTAAAATGAAGCACAGCGACACAAAAACGGCCTTACAGTACATGGAAGACGCAGATAGATAGATAGATAGACAGAAACAACAGGGGGAAAGAAAAGGACTAAATCCATCCTACCACTGACGCCCTCCAACCACCCACGCCAGATATCAGTAACGATGCTACATGCAGAATTCGAATTTGGTAGATCTCGTGGCCTAGAGGTTAAGGTGTTCGCTTCTCATTCAATAGGTCCGAGTTCCAATCCTTTATTCTCTTAAAGTTTCTCCTTTCACATCAAGCATGTGCATGGAGATCAAGGCCATCACTGAGGCTCTGAAATGGCTTTGCACTAATGGATACCAGCAGGCTACCTTTGTTACAGACTTAATGGGTACTCTGGATAAGATCTTGACCGGCAGCCTCTATGCAGATTGGTTTAAGACAATCCAAGACAGCAAAATCAGACACTTGCAGTGGATCTTCTGCCCAGGACATGCAGGAGTCAAGGGAAATGAAAGAGCAGATAAGATAGCAGGCTCCGCAAACATAGAGGGAGTGCTTACCTATGACCATCCAAGTGTAGAAGCCCTTGTCCGAGAAAACCTAGCCAACAGCCGTGACGAGGACTCCTTCACGAAGGAGGTTGAGATTGCGAAAGGAGTGCAGCTTGGTGAAGGTAGGAGGAGCAGGCTGCATGACCCCATCAGACGCTACACCAACCAACTGATGATGGAGACAATCAGCCTGCCCACATTGAAATGCATCGTCATGAAGAGGGGCGAGGAAGCAAGGAGCATCCCGTCTTCCTAAGACCCCAGTTCTAGATTCA